CTTGCTGACTTGTGCATTACCACTATTACTCATCAGAACTCTTTCCAACATATCGATCACCTTTTCCAGAGCCATATTTTCTGACTGCTTTGACTGTGGTGAATCTTGTTCAGTTGTCACTGGACAGGGCCCAGGGCTCACCCTCATCTCATTCACCGAGACTTTCTGCTCACATCCAGTCAGCTTAGTTTCTTGTCCTGTGACTCTGAGACTTTTCTCTGAATGATACTCGTTCAGGATCTCTTGTACTTCATACGCCGTCCATTTGTCAATAGTTTTTGAGCGAAATGTCAGCGCTAGATCTGAACTGGGACAATTCCGAATGAACATACGTGTTACTTCAATCAATTGGTTGTCTAGTACCTTCCCCTGCTGTCTTAAACACTCAGCTGTGATGTCAGCAGTACGGTTCAGACGCAACCAGTAGTCAAAGGGATCCTCTTGAGGCTCTGGGAGAGTAGTGTAGAAATCTTGCAGTGGGATAGGAGAATACTGCTGGCAACTGAAGTGCTTCCGTAATATTGTGTAGATCGCATCTGGATCTGTACTGACATTCAAACCATCAGACAGCATCCCCACTTTAACAACATCCTTGGCTTTACCTCTCAAGTGCATTAAAATTTCCTCACCCTGCTCTTCAGTTGGCAGAAGTCCCTTCCTTATGAAGTTTTTCATGAGCTCCACCCACTCATCTAGGGTAACCGTGTCTGATGCATTGCCTCTGAAGATTGGAGGATCTTTAACTTCCCTCTGGCGTACTACTTGAATCTGCGATGCACTCGATGCAGATCTTTGGTCAGTCATATATCTACCATTGGGGCTATTATGACTCTGTCTAGGTGTAACATCAGTCTGACTGCGCAAGTTCAAATGTTCAAGAATACTGTCCGCCAGTTGCAGTCCTACTTGTTGTACAATGCTACCCATCTGACTCATCATGTCACTTGTAAGAACTGGAGTCGAGGTGCTAATTGGCTGTGTACTTTCAGAATTGTTACAATTTACACGATCAGTGTTCTCATTAGCCTTTTGATCAGGACTAGCATTAGCTCCTAATCCCAAACCATAGCTAATGTCTGGAAAAGGAACTGGTGTTGCTAACATACCTCTCCCTCGACCAACACTAACTGGTGTACCAATATATCCAGATCCAGTAAATCTAGTGTGATCCATAATCAAGCAATGAAAACGTAAAAGTGAGAAAAGGGAGAGAAAAAAAAAGAAAAAGAAAAAAAAAATATGTCCACAGAACTATCAACAAATGCTGGAATATCTGATTTAAATAATAAAACAAAATCACATCCAAGTGTCTATGCAAGAATCACTTATCACGGTTATTTTTTTTCTTTCTGATCGTAAAGCTTAGCTGAAAGTCCCGTGCAATGAAGAATGAAGACAGGTCCGCCGGTCCGATGTTCAGATGATCTTCGACCACCTCGACTGAAGTCCTGAGTCACGGCACCAATGTGACTTTTGTATTCTGATTACTGATTGGTCCCACCCTCCATCAACACAGGAACTCGGAATTTGGATGACAAAGCTTTATTTTCTGCACACTGCACACAGAGCATTAAGAGAGAAAATGGCGAATCGTTACACTCACAGCTCCACCCACAGCAGTTCTCTCTTACTCTGCTCTACTCAGTATCTTTATGCACATTTCTTATTCACAGTACATTTGTATCAAAAACAATAACTAAAGTAAAATAATAATGAAATGTAATAAACTCTCCAGTCAATTACAGACTGTTAACCTTTTTCTGGTTTGTTGTGATCGTATAACACTTGTATCATCCTTCTGATATACTATTTCGTTTCAGAAAATAACATCTGATAGATTCAGTGAAACCATGAATTACATTATAAAACACAGTTTGTCCCAACTATTTCCCAACAGCACAGAAAATATAACTTTATAAACAGTAGAATTACTAAACACTGTATAATAAAACATTTACCTGCACACAGAGCATTAAGAGAGAGAAAATGGCGAATCGTTACACTCACAGCTCCACCTATCCAAAACACATTCATCTCGTTAGAGAGCACATGGCAAACATGACGCAGTTGGAAATCGCAAACATAAAACAATCAAAATTCTCATAAATATAGACGGAAAACACTCTCAACCAGTTAATCCGTGTCTCTTATGAGCAATCCATCAAATAATCATAAATCATTTAAGATGAATTTATACATTTTTCAACTTTTAGTGCGGAGCTTACAGGAAACCGACTCACCCACAGCAGTTCTCTCTTACTCTGCTGCAGATCGTTCGTGCGCACGGTAGCCTATAGCGCCACCCGCGTACTCCATAGGAAGTGCAATCCCATTGTTGCAGGATTTATTTAAAGAAATCACAACTATATTATTTATCCCGTCACACATGGTTACAGACATCTTATATCCTATATCACATAAACATAAACCTCCTGTCCTTGCTCCAACTTGATGAACTATATTATATTTAAAGGGGTCATATAATGGTTCATGCACTTTTACAAGTTGATTGTACTGAAATGTGTGTTGGCAGTGCCTGTACACAACCATCATAAAATTATAAAAATCCATTCAGTGTTTTTGTTTTAATCTCCTTATATGTTTTCCCCTGCCTCAAATTGAGCCGTTCGACCTTGTGACGTCACACGGTCGGAAGCCCTTCCCACGATTGTTGATTGACAGTGTAACGTGTTCAAAATGCTGTTCTGTTACAAATAAGGATGCATTTAATGTTAATTTTTTACTTTATTCGTTTTATGTGATTCGGTTGATTCGTTGTCAAGTTGAATATGGAAGGAGGCTCCACCCCTTGTGAGAGTGATGGGGAAATCTGGGGAGGAGGGGGGTAGAAGAGCGCCTCGCTGGTTCAAGTGCGGTTCTCTTATAAATCGGGTGTGTATGGCGTGGGCTGTGGCCGACAACAGCCTCTAATAAACACCCTTTGTTATCAAAACCGTCTCGTCCTTGCCTGAGAACGTTACAACAGCATCGTTTTAACACAGACCCGCCCTCGCTCGAGAGAGATGTCAATCATAGTCTGCGCGGACCGACGCGGTCATTGTTGATATGCTGGAGAACTGTCTATGAGCAGAATGGCGTCTAAGCGATTGTGGTGTTCTGTTCTTGGGTGTAATAACGAACACAGTCATTTTAATGTTCCTAAATCCGAACCGCTGAAGACGCAGTGGCTGAGTTTGTTTTCGAAGGGAATATTCCCCACGAGCAACGTCAATGCTCTCATGTTTGCGCGAATCATTTCACACACCAGACTGCTTTATAAACGAGGATCAGTATAAAGTTGGTTTTGCTAAGAAGCTGCTCATGAAAAAAGGATCGGTACCAGCTATTCGTGTTCCTGCTGAACCTCTAGAACAACTGAAGTGAGTGTAAAGGCCATTGCACACTGAGTCCGAAATTTTTGTATGCGTTTTTTCGTATTCGAGATTCGGTGGCTCTGAATTGTCAAAACATCATTCAAACACCATTCAAACTGATTGCTACGGATGCGAAAAACGCAGAAAATCGAACCCGATTCGATTTTTTTTATGACAGACGAAAGTTTCGGAGGCAGTGTGCAAGCGTGATTGACATAACGTGAGGTCGTATTTATTTTTTAACGTGCGAAAATTTCGGATGCGAATTTCGGACTCAGTGTGCAATGGCCTTAACGTTTTATTAAACTTTATATTAATATTTATATTAATCTTTGCAAATCGCTAGCTGCACGATTCACAATGAATTCGTCTAAGGTTTACACTCAGGGTACATTACGGCATGTTTTCTATGTATGACGTTCTCAATATAATTCATAATCCCACGTTTATACTGAACAACGCGTTATGGTTATTGTGTTATTGTGTTACAAACGGTGTACGCACAGAACAGAGAGGCAGAGCATTATATTTATGCATTGTTCCTGTGTCAGCCATGATAAAACCTCATGTGCTAGCTAAACAATGGACCTTGATGCTAACCACACTAGCTTAAAATTAACATATCACTCATTTAAATTGAGCATGTGCAGTGTGAGTGTCTTCACTCTGGCTTGTTTCTGATTGGAGAAACATGACATGTTGCAACTGTCCCTGGGCTCCCCTAAATGAAATATGTTTATGTTTATTAAATAGGCCAATCCAACTATGTTCAACTCGATGCATTTTTAAAGTGATTTTATTTACTTTCTTTAAACTTTAATTAGAGGCAAATTAAGTCTTATCTGTGTTTCATCTGTGAGAAAAGAGAAAAGTTCAGCTCAGGAAACGTAACAGACAGTTATTCTGTTGTAACCAGTATTGAGGTTAAGTTCACTTGTCATTCAATATGGAAGAATATATATTTTCACATGTGCCACATTTATTAAATAATAGGCATTGTTTGTTGGTTTTTAATAAAGACTCGGAGTACTCATTTTTCTATAAAACGCATGCAGAACACAAAGTGCGTCACACTTTACTTCGTGCTCAACAACATGTACATCTCTTCCTCTGTGGTAAACGACCAGAATACAAAGCTTTGACGTCTCTTGCGGTTCAAACACACAGGACTGGGCAACAATGATGGTGATGGTGGAGAGTAAATGAATAAAACAGAAGCTGACCGTGTGGAGGAGGAGGGGGGGTGAAACACTTCCTTTACAGAGCGAGAATGGACACCCGAAACGATGAGCCGAAAATGCAGATCATTGTGCAAATCTACATTACAGGCCATGCTATAGTCTGAGATTCAGATATCTGGTGTGAATAAAGACTTTACTGTGCTTCTGCTTTTAAGAAGATAAGAGTGAATTAGTGAGAAGTGTGAGATGGTCTGTGATGATAGAAAACCCTCAACTCAAATACTGAGCTTCTTTTGATGGTTTATTTAATATTAGCCGTCTCTGTTTCCTTTTTCTCATTGGTTCTGATGATGTTGTTGCCAAACTAATTATCTTAGGTTGAATGTGAAAAATATGACATGATTTTGTGATGATTGTAACCAGAGTGGTGTGTTGTGTGTTGTAGGGTCACGAGCTGCAGAAGTTCATGTGCACAAAGCTGTCGGAGACTCACTGGATTTAATCGCTGATTATCCAAAAGAAGGTCTTGAAGTGCAGTGGAAATATAATGGGAATGTTTTTGCTGAGTATGACAAAGATCAGATCAAACAGATCGAACGGGCGGATCCTCCATTATTTCTTGAAAGGTTAAAGATGTATAAGGACAATATTAGTATAACAATATTAGACCTGAAACTCCAGGATTCTGGAAGCTTCTCTATTGTTGCAGAAGCAAAATCAGGTCCACTTCCAACAAAAGTCTTTGAGCTGCACGTTCATGGTGAGTTTATCTTGATATTCATCCTGTCAATGCTGTTAGGATGTAAACACACATAAACACTCAAGAACTGGAGTTAAATAAGTTTATAATCATTTAGCTGAAGTTAAATAGTTCCTTTATGAAGGAAACCGAACATGAAGTGATTAATGATTCAAAATGCAAATTTTCGCAGTGATGTCACAATCTTCCAGTGAACAGTTCTAGTGTAAATAACTTTTTTCCACTATATATATATATATAAAATGTACAATGGATGTGAAAAGTTCTTCATGGAACCGTAGATACCAAAAATAACCTTTATTTTCTAAATGTAAATGATATATTTGATTTAGCGTGTTATTCTCCTCCAGATCTCATCAGAGATGTCCAGATCGAGGTCGATGATTCCTGGCTGGAGTCAAAAAACATCTGTGTGTTTCATCTTCGGTGTCTGGCGTCCGGCGATCTGAGTCCCTCCTACAGCTGGAGTGGAGATCCGGTCCAGACCGGACAGAACCGGAGCATCAGCCTCCGTCCAGCAGAGAGCGCTACAGTCTCCTGCACCGCCAACAACACCGTCAGCATCAAGCGCACTAACCGGACTGTAGTGTGCACAGGGAAATCTGAGTATTCAAGGTTTTGTGTAAAAAGTTGAATACTTAAGTAGTAATAAGGATTATATCATTAAAAATTGTATATTTTAAAATAAATAAAGACCATTTAGAAACAGGCCACCTATATTGAGAACCTTTGAATGCAAGGTTATGTGTCTATATTGGTTACATTGCCCTAAAATGATCTTCTATTATTCATTATTATTTGTACACAAATATTTTAGGATCAGTATTAACAACTTGGACACAATTAAAAACAGGAGGATCTATACCCTTCACAGTTTATTAAAAATGTATTTAATACTTTTGGCTCAGACATAGTATTTAAGTATTCGTAATTATGAAGCTGAAGTATTAATGAATAAAGAAAAATGAAGATATCTGTGAGATCTTTCAGAAATGCTACAACATCTCTTTTGTAAAAATTGAGACACACTCATATACACACTCATATACACACTCAAACTCACACAAACCTCAACAATGGAAATACGAAAATTTTCAAATCTAAATCCTATTACAATTCAAATGCATAATTTGGTCATGCTGCAATGCATGCTGGGAGTCATGAGTGAATTTTGCTGGTACCCATAATGCACTGCAGCATGAAACATTTCACCATTGTTTCTTAAGCTGATTGTTGATGTCTGTGAGAGTCTGAATAACACTGTAATTTAATGTGTTTTCTTCATTCTTCAGAATATCTGAATGTCACAACAGTGCCGGATGTCACTATTATATCACACGCTGAAAAAAAAGTAAACTTTAATTTTTCCTTTTACAAGTTGCATGCAGATTTTTTAAAGTAGCCCATCTAACCAAGTTAAGTAAAATTAACAAAGAACATAAGTAACTTTAACTATAGGCTAGTTAGATTTTCTTGAGTAATTTCTTCTTTTTTTCTTTGCAATACTCTTTAAAAGAACATTGAATTTTGCCATGCATTTAAAGTCTATGCTTTATTTAGAAACGTTTAAGTAAATAATAGATATTAGACGACACACTATATTAATAATACCCACCTGAACAAAGAGACCCCAATACTTGGTTTACAATAACAGTAAAATTCGATGGATAATTTTTAAATAATAATCTTTCATTTTGAGTAGAAGATGGGTCCGTGTATCTTTTGGTCATTTGATTTCCTGTTTGGAATGGAATAACGAGAAATGAAATCCAGCTCGTTTATTCGTTTTTTTGTTTAGTTTAAAAAACGAAAAATTAGATTTTGGCTCGATTTTTTCATTTTTCGTTTGTGGTTTACAAATCGGTTTATGGGTTCGATATTTCATTTGCACACGTGGGCGGCGCTGAAACGCCCCTTTCATCTGATTGGTCAAACCGCTCCGCCTTCAGTACAAGCTTTTCTTTCTGTCGGGCAGAATAAGAGTATTAATAAATGCACTTTAAAATCATGACAGTTGAAGAGCACGGCATACCTTTAAAATGTTATTAGTTTTATTATAAAACTAATACAATTTTATTACATACTGAATTGGTCGATGTTTCTCTGAGTTCTGTTTATTATGTTGGCTTGAGAAAGCATATATTTAAATGTTATTATTATTATTATGAGAAATTGACTCCGCCTAGAACTTTAATGCTTCACCAAACTCAGCTCAGACCTTCAGACTGGTCTGACTCGCTTATATCTTTTTCTAACTGGTCAGACTTCCTTTCCCAAAAAAATCCATTGACTTGCGTTATCTGAGCAATGGGCGTAATACTCAATGCTGTCCACTAGAGGGGGCGACAGGATAATACGTCTTTCTACTCTTTTCCTGTTTGCATCAGTTGAAATGACAAATAAAAGCATGAATTTCATTCATAAATAGGCCATATCTGTGTATGAGAACAAGCTTTACATTTCAAGCTGTAAAACTAATTAAAACTTGAACCCTACTTCAAAGTTTGCCACTCTATAGTTTCTTTTAAGATATTGTTAGTTTTTGCATTTAATATTAGTCCATCTGGAACTTTTATTTGTCATGAGCTCTATATTTTAAGATGTACTAGATAAAATATGATTCAACAACAAAAACTCTGTTTTAACTCGGCAAATGTGTTTTCCTTTCAAGGCTATAGCCTACAAGTTATCCTGCTTTTTGCCATGGCTTGCCATACTGCCCAGAATAAACTATATTTTCTCCACACGAGATGTTTAAAAACCCTGCATGTAGTTTTTGTGAAGACGAGCGCATATCTTACAATATCTTACAAAGGTTCTATCTATCTATCTATCTATCTATCTATCTATCTATCTATCTATCTATCTATCTATCTATCTATCTATCTATCTATCTATCTATCTATCTATCTATCTATCTATCTATCTATCTATCTATCTATCTATCTATCTGTCGGACTGACTATATGAAAAACTTGAATGCAAACATTTATGCACAAATATATCTTAAATAACAGTTTAAAAAAAGGTCTGCTATATTTCACAAAGGAAGCCCATTTGTGTGTTATACGAGAAGGACATAGCCTACTGTAAAATTAGCTGGTTTACGTAAAAATGCGGATTGATCATTGCACAGTTATTCCAGACGCCTCCCGGTGCTATTCGTATTGGAATTGTGTAATCACAGATTATGAACGGATGTTTTACACAACAACAAGGATATATTCCCATTGGGTTTTCATGTTTTATGGGAACTTTAGACATCATGATTTTTATACTGTACAAACTGTGTTATCCCCTAACTCTAATGTAACCGTTATGGGTAGGTCATCTACGGACATCTAATGTTACGGACATATTTTATCATGGTACAGTTCAGTTATTGATTATTTTTTTTCCTATTCCCTTTTATCCAAAGAGACGGAACTATTTGCACTGTATTTATCAATGGGAAATACATCATGCTAAAGTAATCTGTCATATAGGTCTACTGTGGCTCACATTACTGGGGTCGCTTGCAAGTCGCAGCAGCACGAGTTACGTGACCAGCAATATCTCTGCTTCAAATATTGTGCGTAGTTAACAGTGAGTGGTGGTTTCAGACATTGTTTTATTAAAGTGCATTTATTAATAGGCTACTCTTATTCTGCCCGACAGAAAGAAAAGCTTGTACTGAAGGCGGAGCGGTTTGACCAATCAGATGAAAGGGGCGTTTCAGCGCCGCCCACGTGTGCAAATGAAATATCGAACCCACAAACCGATTTGTAAACCACAAACGAAAAATGAAAAATCGAGCCAAAATCTAATTTTTCGTTTTTTAAACTAAACAAAAAAACGAATAAACGAGCTGGATTTCATTTCTCGTTATTCCATTCCAAACAGGAAATCAAATGACCAAAAGATAGAATCCGTGTATCATTCGTTCAGTCGGTTTTTTATTTAATATTGAAAGTAGAAATATGAGAAAACAGTTCCTTTTTCGTTTTTACCAAAAAAACGAAAAACAAGTTTTCCGCTTGATTTTTCTTTTTTCGTTCTGGGGTAGAAAAATTAATAAACAGCTGGAATATTTGATTTCCTCACGTGGGCGGGAATGAAACGCCCCTTTCTTCTGATTTGTCAGCCGAAGATCAAACTTTTCCGTCATCAGTTGTTCCTTAGTTCCGCACTGCAGAATAAGAGTCCTCCGCTGCTGCAGTTGATGTGCGGATTCTTAACGGGTTTATTGCAACTACATTTCATCTTTTTCTCATCAAACAACCAGACTAATGGCTTGACACAACCCGTACTGGGGAATAGACTAGAAAGGGCTTTCTTCTGTGTAGACCAGGAGTTCTCAAGTGCCAGGGGGTCCGTGAAATAATTTGTAGGATTGTTCCTATTTTCTGTAAAGTCTGTTAAGTGACAGTCACGTATTTATTTATCATGAAGCACGATGTGATTTATTCATAAGTGACTTAGGTCTATATAATGCATTTTACTTCAAATAATCTAAATATTAACTTTCAAAAGTAGGCGCGTCAAAAGGCTATTCGCTGTAGGCTATTTTGGTTAATTTTTTGGTGTGCGCCAGAAAGATGTACAAGGAGACAGAGACGTGCTAAAGCAGCGCATCATGTTGTTTTCTTTATTTTTCAAAGGCATGACAAGTTGTACTAGTCATTTTGAATGTAGCCTACACACAAAAAAATATATACATTTTACTTTTTCGAACAACAGAGCATTAAGTTATTTCCCCTGCTGAGCAATAAATCCATGTGATGACGCCAGCGCATAGTTGATAACTTGACATTGCAGCCTGTTCATTATTAAAATAAAACACAGTCAACCAAACATATACAAAGTTATTCTGCTTAATTTAATTGCTCTGTTTTACACAATTTACTTGCTGTTATTCCAAACTCATTTCCCTTGCTGTGAATATGCTGATTTATTGGGACTCGACTGAAGTACGAAGCCTTCTTTACAATAATAGCATCCAAATGTTACATTCCAAATATGGAAACTTTGGACCGAATGAGAGATGCACAAAACCAACGTCGGTACATTTTTAGTTTCGATTAAAAAAATAAATTAGTTTAGGCTTGGCGTTTAAAATAGGCTAAACAGTGTATATAATAAAGGGTACAATAGGCTATTTTTATATGTTATTACATTTTTATTATACATGGCTACTTATTTTTCATTATTGTTGTTTTCTGAATACCATTATTTTAAGGATTTGACATAGGCTACAGTAAGGGGAAGTAACATACGCATAGCCTATATGTTATTAATAGTGCTTAAATGTTAATTTTGTATTTTATTTACCGGTCTTTTACATTATTTCTGAATAGGCTACTAATAAAATGCGTTTTTTTTACAATGTGACGTGCGTGTTTCCCTCTCAACATGATCTGGTGCGCCGCGCACACTGCGTATCCTTGAGATATAAATTATAATACATTTTAATAAAACACAAGGCCTACACCATAACACTTGTTGTTGTTAGTCAGTCTGAATGACAGTTAATGTAGGCCTATTACATAGTCAATGTATTCTTTTCTTTTTGTATTAGTGTTAAAATATTTAATTTACAACTAATTAAATTGATTTATATCTTAATTTATTATCATTATTAAATTACTGGGTGAGGGTGACCGCATGGCTAGCAGCCGTCATTTACCCTGCATACCCAGCTGATGCAAAGCGTATGGTGAATTTATATCTA